TGTCGATTAGGCAAATTATTAGGCAAGGTGATTTCTGTGTAGATTCAACGCAATGGTTTAACAGTTTCGCAGTTTACAAAAAGTATTTTTGTTATTTTGTAGATTTCTGTTCCAATGACGAAAAAATTAGACTTTTTTCAAAAAATGAACCTTCGACAAAGGTATAGACATTATTTTTATTATACACCAAGCCTAAACAATCATGTCAGGAATATATTTTTATATATTTCAGTTTAAATACGTAAACAAAAAGTACCAAGAAAAGTATCTAGAATAACTCACTCTTTGTATCTGAAGTATTTAAAAAAATTACCAAAAAATAATCTATTAATAAATGTTAAACGGAAATAATTAGGGTTTTCTCAGGTCACCATGACGCAGTGCTTGTGATCAAGGTTGATTGACTCTGTTGTATTTTTAAATTTGTCTCCATTTAAAGAAAACCTTCCATAAAATAATCAATTTTATTCATATATAAGAATATAATAAGAGTCTCGACATAATAATAATTTTAATTTATCGACCAAGTACTTTAAATCCGCTTCAGTACAATTTTTGAATATGTAATGGCAAGATCAATGAATTCGTATTGTTCTGGTTATAGAAGTTACAAGGCAATGTATTTGGTTCGCTTCATAGTTCGTTTAGATTTGGAGGATAAAATATTTTAGCTGGCCTTGTTTAGAATATTATCTTCTACTCAAATGGCACCTAATATAGTTCATACCAAAAAATTCTTTTAATCAAAATATTTTAGGAAACAAAAATAAATTAATTATAAATATTTAAACAGTTATTATTTGCATCAACAAAACTCACCTACTTAACAGCACTTAAGGGAGATAAAGGGCCATTACTACCGCTTTCCCGTTCAAAATACGGCTATTAACCTATCTTGTCCTCTTCCTCCTTCCTATTACTCTATAAGAGTATTGTGACATTATGATATCGCATTTATGGTGTCTCTCCATGTTGTTCTGTCTTGCGCAGCAGTACTGGCCTCGTGCAGACTATGACCTACTATTGTCTTCATTTGGTCCACCCAACGGTTTGGAGATCTCCCTCTAGGACGTTTCCCGTTCACTTTTCCCTCCACAATTAGTTTTTCTAGGCCATTGGTGTTCCTGGATATGTGTACAACTTCGAAACCTGCTATTTCTGTTGTATTCGTGGGTTCTCGATCGATAATCATTAATTTTGTTTTTCTTTTATTTAGTTTTAACCCATATCTCTCGCTGACCACCTCTAATTTGTGCAAAATGGATGTTAATTCATTAGCGAAGGATGCGAGTATAAGTGTATCATCTGCGTACCATAATTTTTTTATTTGTTTATCGCCTTTTATACGAACATAGTAAGTTAAATAAAATCTTGTAAAAAATAATAAAAAATATGAATGGTAGGTTATATGGTATTTCCAAAACAATTCATTCATTTATAGAAGCTTCATAATCAGGTATTATTTAAAGTAATTTTGTAATTAGCGCTATCACCAGAACAGACGTAATGCTATGTGCGAAGTTCCCTATGCAACCATCGAATGACGAAACGCTCGGTTTAGCAAAGCCTCGCCACACGCTTCTAATTAGCAAGCGAAGGTTATCGCACACAAATGCAATTTTTTACGTTCTATTGACGTACTGCATCGACCGACCAAGATAATTGCATTTGGGAATTAATAGACTATTTGTCCAGGTAAATGTCACTTTCGGTTAATTACTGATAACCCAATCACGAATACTGTACAAAGCACTTGTTGAAACCAGTTTTATATTGGATTTTGCTAAAATTCAAAGCAATCTCTGTTCTTCAGTGGCTTGTCAAAGAAGATTGGCGATAATCACAGCGAATTCTTCTCGTCTTTCTGTTGTTCTGGGGGGTGTTTAAAAATGCATACCTGTCCAATATCTTCAGCAGCTGTTTTTCTGTGTATACTGCATGCCTTGGCGCAAACGGATACGTAACTCTCATTTTACGCTGTTCCTAATTGACTTCTATGTAAAATGTTCTTTTCGATGAACTTTGCAGAGCGAATTGATCAAGAGAGACTTTGCTTTGAAAGTTCTCAAATTTAGTTTTAAAGTTTTGGTTACAGGGCGATTCTTGCGTTATATCATTATTCAGTCTAAGGGCTTTGTCAAGAGCCAGTATCTGAGACGGTCTTAGAGAAAGTAGTTCTCCGTCTCCGATATCAGCCGTACCAACGTTTATAGCAAGAATGGTTGTCATTTCGGCGCGAAGTGATGAGATATTTTGGTGTTTCCCCATTTTCCCCACAAATTTTGTAAAAACTTAAAAGGCAACAGTGTAGATTAATGATAGTGTAGAATTGACCTGTATCGAATCAAGTTCTTTTAGCGGCTGCTTAGCTGTCTAAGAACTAGAAACTTAATGTTGTATTAATGATTATAGTAACATATTTATCTCAGAATCAAAACAAGGAAACAACATGTTCATATTTTCTATGAACTGTTAATATTAACATTAAGGAAACATAGTACTAACAATAATAATATTGGGATACGCAATATTATCAAGAAATTTCAAGTACAATGTTATCACAAAAAAAAATATAAGGAAGTATAACATTCAAGAATATGTGCCGAAAATAACAAGGAGACCAGGAAATGTAAACCAAACGTCAACTATAAAAAATTAGCATTCAAATTTTCAGAAACTGCGTTGAAGTCAGCTGTAAAGTAATGTTGTCATTAATAATTTACAATTATTGATGTTATGTAATTTGTGTGAAGGTCAACCTAGCATATTTGTCTTACTAATATGAATCGTTTTAATAGCCTTACATGATTGACGAGTATGTAGTTATGTCTAAAATTGTAATGAAACCAAAGAAATATTTTCATTTTGTAGTTTCTAGCAAAGAATAAACTCTCTTTATAGATATCTTAATCCTGCATACATTGATATACATTAGTATTAATTTAAATGTATATTTTATCCAAATGCTTTCACTGCTTTCTTTTAACCTTGATTGTAAGACTTCAGTGAACAGTACTAAGTGGTTATACTATTTCTTTTTTTTTTCTACATTTAAGTGATGACTTAATACATATGTCAAAAAAATCTTGTAGCCTGTGAATATCTTTATCTTAGTTCCTTTTAATATAAATCATTTTAATGAAATTTTGAGGCAGTTTTCCAATAAAAAGAAATGAATTTTATTTGACAGCAACAATCCATTTTTGATTTTGACATATATTATTATAACTCCAAATCAAATGAACATGCAGTCACTAATCTCTTTTTTATCTGGTTGCCAAGTAATTGAGAGAGTTCTACAATACATGACGTGACGTTGAACGATGGCTGAACATTCCATATCTGAAAATCGAATTTTTATACCTTCCTCAACAGATCGTCTTTTGTGGAGTCATTAATATTAATGAAACTTTCCCCTAAATCGACCTATTTACATTATAAGTCATTTAAAAATTCGAATAACTCCTGTCTAGTATTGAATATGCCCAATAAACGAAACCCAAGCTAGAAACGCCCCAAATAACCACACAAACGATAAATAAATCGCTGTTATTTGCTTTAGGCCGGTCTCTCTAATGACACTAACAATTATATTCCAATTATCACACAGAAAAATGGAGATAGTAGGTTAATAGCGTGGTTTCCCATTGTCTATACAAAACTTTGAAGTATTATTCGTTCTAAAATCGTTAGAATTTCGAAAATAACTTATTATCATCTATCGATAACATTTTTCTTTAATTTTCTTAATATCTCTCATGACGACAAGCTTTCTTTGTTTGATAAAACTTTTGAAAAAAAAACAAGAATTTAATCGATAAAATTGCAACCTGTTTGAGGAACAAAGGTTCTATGCACTCCCGATGCACACAAAAGCACTCGTAGCTGATACGAATGAAAAAAAAACTAAAGCTATTCAAGATGTATTAAATCAGGATCTATAAAAAGCACAACCGAATGGGTTTGGAAGTGACGTCACAATCGAGCGGCCGTGCATTTTTAAAATGCGTCTCTTCATAGGTGCTTTTCCGTGCATGCGCATTTGGTTAGAGTATTAATAAGTTCACGAAGGAGATTTTTCAAACCGACCAATGGAAGGACAGAGAACAATGCAGGAACGAAAGCATTATGATTGTTTCAATGTCATTGTTCTCTGAAAATCTATTCTATCAACTTTTAGATGCTTATAAAGAACAAGACGCTCAACTGTAAGATTGGACTACGATATAACAAAATGCATGAGAGCAAATGAAAGAAGAATATGCAAGGCAATAGATTAAAGTTGAAGACTGGATATCTCCAATATTTGCGAGGTTATGAATTAAGGTTTGTTATTTGGTACATTTAAAATCAATAGAGCTCTAAAAAGCCAACGAACACCATTACATCCCATACAAACATTCACTAACTTGAGGTCTTCTCTGATAAGGGGGTAGATGCAGAAACCATAAGCAGAGGAAGCCAGAGAATTTGACTCCTAAACAGTTAAAATACACATTACATACTGTAATTTTCGAGATTGTGTTTTTTGTTTGGATATCAAAAGAAATCTTTTTATTTGGATTACTGGAAATTGCGAGAAAATAAAAATAACGAGATGCAAAACAATGAAAAATTCGTGATAAATAACGATGAGTACTTCACAGACAGTTCCTTTGTCTTAGAAAGCGGATTTCTCGATGTTTTTAGACGCCAAATACCGGAATGTACTACGCCATTCAGCAGAGGCGAGAAAACGCAGTTTACACGCTTGTAAACAAATTAAGTCGAACATCGCTCGATGTTATTGTGCTTTTAACTAGATAAACACGCGTGAGGAAGGAATTGCGATGTTGCAATCTATCAAAAAACGTGAAACGAGTACCCGATATCAAGGAAATTTGATTTTTTTAGATAAATTAATCTCTTGGAAAGGAATAAGTACTTTTTGTTATCACCATTTATTAAAATAATTACCAATTAAAGTATTTAAAGTGTTCAAATAAAACCATTATATTTTGTTAAATGTAACTATTTATTGGTCAATAATGTGGCAGCTATGTAACTAGTTCACACAGATCATTATACACAGTTTTGCACTTTATTTGTAACCTGTCTGTCTCTTTATCTTTAATTTTGGATTTTTACCTACACCTCACTTTTAAAATCATCTACTTCAAAAAATCAAGAGATTAGGATTAATAGAAAAACATGATGGTCTAAGTACATTTAAAGTAAATAAATCCCATACTATAGAGTATGGGATTAAAAATTAATTTAATAATTACAGCAATGATTCCCAAAGTGGTTCATGTGGACCCCAGGTCAACAGAGGATTTGGTTTCTAGAGTATTTAGTTCCAATTTTGTATGCTCAATAATTGTGTTATAACTTCAACCTGACGTTTTCTCTTGGCGTGAATGTTAGTTTGCTTTGTTTACGTACCTCCTTGCCATTGGGGTGAATTCTTATAATCACTTCGTCGGTTTCCACGTGATGCTTCATCACTTCTCCGCAAATCTCCCTTCCGTTGAAGGTGACGAAACACTTTTGGTGGCACACCAACTCAGTACCTAGCACCGATTGAAATCCAGGTCCTATAAGGTCATTTTCGAAAAACTCCGCAGTGGTACGACCCAAATTCCCTTGCCTCGAATCGAACCGAACCGTATACCGGGTGTTCGGCGTCAGATTCAGGCAATTGCTGTTCGATTCCACGTTTGCCGGAGTCTTGACCGCTTGGATCACTCCGGAATAGTACTTGCCGTCCTCACCCGGAGCACAAACGCGCGTACCGATGATCGAGCGCTTGGCGATTCTCTTTCCGGTCGACATAGCTGAAGGAAGAGTTGAGGTGACCGGCACTGAAGGAATAAACTCCGAAACAACAGAAAGTTTTGAAGATGAAGCGGATGACACTATGCGTTATCGGTAAAGTACAATCTCCGGACGAGTAACCTTTGCACGGATTGCTGCTGGGGGCTGAAACACTCTACGGACACATCAAGAAGCGAATCTGTGGTTTTGTTATCGTAGGATATGCACATACTTGTCGTTGGGGAACCGTTTTGGTGACGAGAAGCCAGGCGAACGGCTGAATGACGACTAAAAGCGGAGAGCGGCCGGCCGGTACACGCTGCGCTTGTAAATTGTAAACGAACAACAGCTGATTGCTGCGTTGCCGGCGGCTACGCGGGGAAAGTCGTGTAAAGCCGCTCTCAGATCGAATTGGACGAGTACTGCGTCATATTCGTGGCAAGCGTAAGGGTACGAACATAGTGGAGGCAGGTTTCTGCTTTCCGGCAACCAGCGCCGTCTCTGGGGACCTATTCTTGACCACTCGCATCTTCAAATATCGCTCGCATCTCGCATCTCCTAAAAAGCCATATAACAATACACAGATGCGTAACTTTGCGTATATGCATCACGTGTATTGTATATGGCTATTTCGGAGAGGCGAGAAGGATTCCGAAGTAGATAATTAAGAGGAAATTTACCTGATTAACTAACCTAACCTAATCAAACCATATCCAAACGCACATAGGTGTATTTGGTCTATAAACCTGGCCAAAAGTGATATTTTTTTATTTTCATTTTTTATCTTAACTGAACACAAATCTGTAAATACTAAATGTAAGCACGTTTATTAGTTATTAGCTTTTTTAAGTCGTAAGTTGACTATCAAATAAATAATATATTTCAGTTAAAAGTATGAATTATCTTGAGTGTATTCTGAATATTTCTAAGATTATAAAAATAGTGGAATTGTTTGTAGTGCTTTTTTTGCAAATTGTTCATAATAACTGTCATGATGGATACAGAGCCAGCTTTGTTTGTTGGCTCTGTTCTGTTTTATGCCATATTTTTATTTTGAAACGTTTCCTTCTATTCTATTTTTTTATAATGTTTTATATTTAAAAAATCAGTGGCATTTTTATAAGGTGTAAGACTATTCGGCAATATTCCGCATGGAAATTAGTATCCGTTCAATGCTTAAAGTCTCCAGCATTGGAATATGCACAAAAATCTTGCCAATATTTGCCACTGCCAAAAAAAACATTGATTTAAATAGATTCTTAAAGGAAATAGTCTTTACCCTATTAACACCCATCCTCGCTCAAATATCGTCTATAATATACAAATTACTTTCTTGTTCTAGCATCCTCATCCAATTGCTTGGTTTTGCACAGAATGGCCCTATTTGATCGGTGGAAAGGGTTTCAGAGTAGAGGAAAAAATATTGTGTAGGAAAAACAAAATGGGGTTCCATATTAGCAACCTCTCCTCTAATTAATAATTAATATTACTAGCAAAAAAGCAAAAAAATCATAAAACATAATTTTGGCCAACTTTTAGTTCTTAATACCCCCTGTGCGCCGTCGGCGCGTGCAAAAGCAGAAATAAATAAATTTTCGTTCCGGTAAAAGCGAGAACGCCGATGAACGCTGGTTGACGGTGCCTGCCTGCTTTCACTGTGAACTAGCCGATTTGATAACACGCTTTAATTTTTCAAGGTTATAAGCGCGAGGCGGCGCGGCGCGGCGCTACTATGTAACCATATACAGGGTGTCCCAGAAATAAGTGCAAGTATTTTAACTTAACTGGTAGTATAGTTCAACCCCAGAAACACGCCTATGAGGTTTTTTTCTAAATAATTTTTTTTTGAAAATTCGGAATTTTTTGAAAATATTTTTGAAATTTTTTTGCAATTTTTTTTAGTTTTTATTTAAAAAAAATAGTTTCTTGATAATATGGCAACATAGGTAGTAGATTAAATTTACAAGAAAGAAAATCCAGAAAAGATCCAGTGGTTCTCAAACAAATCTCGAAGTATTGGAAAGAATGTGTAAGGACTAAGAACTATTGTCTACAATAAAACGACGGAAAGCAGCATATTTTGGTCATATTTTTCGAAATAACAAATATAGTTTCCTACAGCTGATCGTTGAGGGAAAGATTGAAGGACGACGAGGCATCGGGCGTAAACGGTTTTCCTGGTTGCGGAATTTGCGCCAGTGGTTTAATATAGGAGAGGCCAGTGCAATTATCCGTTTGGCTCAAGACAGGGAGGAATTCCAATTGATGGTCGCCAACCTCCGATGAGGAGAAGTCACATGAAGAAGAAGATTCTCAAAATTTCTTTTTTGGAAATTTTCAAAGTAAAATAACTCCATTATTTTGGACTTATTTGAAAAACGATAAAGAGAAAATATGTTTCTTTTATCGAGATCTACCACCCTTTAAAATACTTGCACTTATTTCTGGGATACCCTGTTTATAACAATACACGTGATGCGTATACGCAAAGTTGCGAACGATGTCAAGAATAGGTGCCCAGATTGGCGCTGACTACCAGTAAGCGGCAAACCTGCTTGCACTGTGTTCGCACACTAATGCGTTTCGAGGCGAACGATAACTTGTAATAATCTAATTATATTGTACATTCTACGTAGAAGGATATTTATTTGTTTTAAATGATGAATTTTCAAAAAAAATATATCTTCTTCAATTGTGTCGGTGTATATTCTAGGATCCAGGTCATTATCACATAAAACCTAACTCCAAACATCATAGACTCCAAAAAATTCTATGGGTATTTTGCCGCTGTAAGAACCTGTAACATCATAGAGCTACATTTCAAATAGCGCATTATCAAAAAGAACGGCCTCAATGTCTATGGAGAATGACAATCGATGAAAATTTTGGCGAGATTTTCTCCATTATGGGTCTTAGGTTCTTCATTTCAGCAAGCCTTAACATGCTTTTGGTTTTGTTTGTTTTTTGTTTTCTCTAGACTATATATTATAGCGTTCTACGCCTTCCGGTTCCCAGTCTCCATTGCCTTCGATCTTCCCAATCTCCTGGAAGTAAATTTCTTTCGTACATGGCTCGGTTAATGCCCTCAATCCAGGTAACTTTCTGTCTTTCTTTCTTTCTTCTTTCCGCTGGTGTCCATTTTAGGATTTGTTTTGGTAGACGTTCGTCAGCCATTCTCTTTACATGTCCATACCATATTAGTTGGCGATTTCATCGAGGATAGTTTTCTTTACGCCCATAATCTCTCTAATTCTCTCGTTCGTTATTCGTTCTATTCTCGACTTTCCGGCAGATCTTCGCCAAATGCAAAATTCCATTTCAAGAGCCAGTAATTTACGCTCTAAATTTTATTTATTTGCCAGGTTTCCATCTATACAATACAACACTTTTAAATATTGCATTGTATAAAAGGTGTTTTCTTTCGATAGAGATGTTTGTTGACCATAATAGTGAGTTTAGGCATCCTATATCTAGACCTCATTAACTAAAAATTCACATAAAACTGTCAAAAATTAACTCTAATTATAGAAATTCAGATGAAATAGAGATTATAGAAACACAGATTCTGTGGGGAAAATGGAGAGGCACCAGAACACCTCATCTCTGACTGCGCCGAGACGACAACCAAATTTCATGGCACTAACATGAACTTTGGGACAACTGATATCAGAGGTGAAGTGTAAGACCGTCTCAGATAGTGGCATTTGTCAAAGCCCTGTTACTGTATGATAAATTATAACTCAGGAAAGGGGGACACTTACTTGGGGGGATTACAAATTTCAAACTTACTGTAATATCCATATCTTTAGGTCGCTGAGGGACTTCTCACGTACTCTTTATCCCAATACTTGTCTAAATAAGTGTGCCTGTATTGTTGTACTTACAAACCATCTTCTTGAATCTCCTCCTAAACCAATGCTGATCTCTATTATACATTTTGGCTACCGACAACAGAAAAGACAAGAAAATTGTGACATCAAAAGAGTCTTGAGTCTAAAAAAATATATCCTCACTGGACAGACAATTCGCTGAGGGACTTCTCACGTACTCTTTATCCCAATACTTGTCTAAATAAGTGTGCCTGTATTGTTGTACTTACAAACCATCTTCTTGAATCTCCTCCTAAACCAATGCTGATCTCTATTATATATTTTGGCTACCGACAACAGACAAGACAAGAAAATTGTGACATCAAAAGAGTCTTGAATCTAAAAAAATATATCCTCACTGGACAGACAATTCCTTTATTATAATTCTAAGCACTATCGGTAAAAGAGGACATCACAAACCTGTATAATATGAAACAAAGAAAAATATGTTATTCGAAATTACTCGGTATTTACAAAATCGCTATCTCACAGTTTATTGGAGCATATATTAAGATTTACTATATTACATCTATTAAGATTACTTAAGAAGAAATTGATAGCCAAATATCTTCGAAAATTATGGAGAAACAGTAACAAAATAAAAAAATTGACGGATATACGAAATTAACAGTTTTTAAGGCTTCAAGAACGTTAAGTAGTGTTTTAATATAAAGAATTACATGATTATACTTCACACCAATGTATTGCATATTACATTGTATTTACAAAATTTTGTGTGGGTGTGATGCTACATATATCGGCAAGACCAAAAATGAAAACAATAAACAATTAATGAAGACAATATGCAACAAAATAATAACAAATAATATGGTATAAAATAATATAAATATAAATAAAAAAGATCAATACTTTCTGAACTATTGAAAAAGGTTACTAATTTTAGTTAACCTCATCAATACTGAGAAAGAACTACGACACACTAAAGTCAACAACAAAAATTAAAACTTATTTATCATTAGCGAACCATATTTGTACTTTGGCACAATCCATTTTTGCGATAATTTCAAATTTTACTGCTTTACTATGACGTAGAAGTTCTGACGTGTCCACCTGATATTCTAATCAAAATTTCACGATAAAAGTGTTTACTTAAGTTTGTCATAAATGCATTTTCGCAATTTTTACAGGATTGTAGTATGTTAGTTTGGGTTAAATAATGCTTGTTTTAATTAGGTAATTATACAAGAAGAAAGACAATTAGTATGTTACTTTGTCCTCAACCTGTATCAATGAAGTTTTTGCTACAGACTCTGCGATAAAGATTCTGATACAACGGAGCACGTAATATGTCACAGCAAGGTTCTGGATCGCAAGCGACACTAGAAAGTTGAGTATATAATTAGTAATAGTACTAGAAATTTGAGAAAGCAAGGCTAGAACTGGAGGAACTACCGGTAAAGTACTCTTCGGGGCTCAGTTTTTACCTTTTATAAGTTATAAGAAAACCACGATATAAAA